ATAAAACTTGTCTCTCCAGATGTTCTCCCCAGAGCTATTAAAAATAGGTGGTCTTAATATTTGCTTTTTGATCTTCAGCATGTTACCTTCCCAAAAGCCAGCAACAAAGCCCATGATTAAATATGTGCATGGATGAGTATCCATGCTGGGGCAGCAGGAGTGGGGGGCACGCTGACACCTCGTTTAGCTTGCCACTCCATTTCCCTCTGGCTGAACTCACAGTCTACCTGCACTACCTCGCTTGTAATCTGCATGCAGAGTGGGAGGCTTCAAAGACCTTAAGGAAATGCATTTCAAATGTTCTTCCTGTTATAAAGCATGCAGCCAGAGCAGTCAACCAACCATGGCAGAGGAATCCCTAAAAATGAAGATAGGCTGGTGTAAATCAAAAAGTGAGGCTTGAATCCTGAGATTTCTGCAACTGCAAGAAGTGTCACATCCAACAGGATACAATAGATAATGAGTGTGTACCACACCAGTTACAAGAGCGTGACAAATGGCCTCACAGGCACCACACTGGCTCCATTTATACTGTTTCCTTTCTGAGGCAGGATGGTACCTCTGTAATGGTTCCAATATTTTATTGCTCTATTGAACCTCTTCTGCTGAGAGGAGAGACAGTTGAGCGTGTCCACTCGCATTCTCTCAGCTGTAACACACAAGATCCATAATAATTCAATAACGTGAGAGCTCAGCTGTTGTGTTTGTTGGAAAGGATTTACATTGCTTTCTTTGGGATAATTATGACTGATTGTAATAAATATGGATATAAACTCTTGATCTTTGCCTCCAGAATTACAGACTACAAGTTACATGCAAGTTGAGAACAATTATAAATTAGTTCAAAGTCCAGAGACTTAAAAAAATGGTGATTGCATTTAGTAGATTATAATTCCACACGTTTTATTCTCTTTTGTTTGCAATTGTTCTGAAAGTTTTGCTTGCAGAGATTGTTTCAGGATTCCATGGCAGGGCAGGTGCATTTTGCAGTATTTCTTGTAAATCCCATCTCAAACCACAATGGCAAGGGTCCTGATGGGAACTCACAGCCCCTTCCTGTTCCCCTGCTTTTTGGATAAATAGCCAAAACAGGTGAACATATGCCAAGTTCCTCAGTAGGAGTTAGTTGGGCTTCAAGGACCTTGATTATTTAATGGATGGAGCCCGGGATAACTTTTTCTGAGCAGCAGAACAGCAGCTGAGCTACAGTTCAGAGGACAGTGGGCTTTTCCCTGGCAGTGCTGCCTCAGCTCCTGGAAATGCTGTGGAAGCTGTTGTTTTTTGTTCAGAAAGCCAGGTATCTGTGACTTCTAGTAGCCCTTTGCTTTCCTGAATCCGCTGGGATGTGGTATCCTCAGTTTTCCCTGACACTGCAAACAGGTTGAAATGATAGATGAAAGGAGAGTGGGACGGAGCTGTGAGTGAGTGCATTAGCCTTTCACTGCTAGAGTCCAGGGTTCAGAGTCTTCCTTTGAGCAAATGTAAAAAGGGGTTTAATAATTTCTTTCTAACATCCTTAGTGGACATTTGGCAATATCATAAAAACTGTGCACAGTATGGAAAAGAAAAGCATAAGTCTCTGGAACAGGAAATGTGTCATGGAATGGAAGCAAGGTAGAAGGCAGAGAAGCATGGAGAAACATTCACAGCACCTTCAGCTAGGTGTTTCTGAAAAGCTCACACTTGTTATACACCAAGTGCACCCACTAATTAAGGAATAATAAGAAAAAAATGTTGCTGGAAAGCCTCACTGGTTTTTCTTTGGGAAATGCATTAGACAATTAGAAAGTGCACATAGTCCTATTACTCAAGTTAATTTACACTCACTCTCCTAGTCCACCACAAGAATTTATGAACCTGGAAGAGCTATAAGTCCCTTAACAAAGTAAACAAACTGTAACTCAGGCTTGTGTTCTTCCAGAGACCCACCACCTCAGGGTTTGGGTGGTTGTTTTGGTTCTGGGGTTTGGCTTTTTTAGCTAAAGGCAAGGAGATGATTCAGTACATGGTGCTGTGTCACTCTTCTCAGGGGCAAACAATTCACATTGACAGGATTAGACCATTAGAATAGACTTCAAATGCACAGTGAACGTCAGCAAATAAAATCTAACAGCATTCAGCTATGACTTGTCTTTGCACATCCAAGGAGTGGATAGAGAAGGAAGCCTTGACCTGCTGAGCTTCTTGCAAGTGGCTCAGTCTCCCCCAGGCCCTACAAATTTGGAGCAATAACAGCCAGAAGATTAGGCAAGTGTAATTAAAACTATTCTGATGTCAGGCCCCTATTTTAGTCTCCTCCAAACGATCCAGAGCACACTCGATAGTCCTTACACCACATCAGCTCCTCCTGAATGTGTGAGGCACTTAAAGAAAGAAAGTTTTTCACACTGTATACCAGACGACCTTGATGTGATAGACTGCAGGGTTTTGTGACACTGCACACTCAGTGCTATTCAACACTTTGCCTGAAAGGGAGGAAGGAATGGATTTATTGACTTGTGACTTTGACTCAGGCCTGTGTATCAGGACTGTTATTATGTGGAATGATTAGGCTGCAGTGTCAGGGACAAGTTAAACTAGAACAACAAAGGACCTCCTTAACCTTTACCTGGACACAAGGCCATTCATAATGACTTGCATGGTTTGGATTGGAAAACTAAGTATATCTTGCAGCACTCAATACTTCTGCAGCTACAGCAAATGAACAGAAATGGAAAAGATGGATTGCTGAAGGAGATGAAATGTAATTCAATTTTGCATAGTCCTGTTCAGAATACCAAGTTCAGATCCATGTCAAAAAGTGGCAAAGGCATCATCTTTCTGTTCAGAGGGAATTTTAGAATTGGGTGCAATACATATTTATCCAGGATTATTCCTTTTTTTTTTTTTTGGGGGGTGGGGGGGTTGGGGGGAGATGGTGGTGTAGCAAATAATGCTTTCCATGAAGGAGATTTCCTCATATGGAGTGTGCATGAAACAAAAATCGATGTTAATGACAGCTGGTGCCAAATGTAAAGAGAAGGTCCTCAAATGACAAGGGGAGTTACTCCCACAAAGCCAGTGTGACAATATTCACGGATCCTATCACTGTGTGTGAGGAACAGAGCATCTCTTTGCAGCCAGTGCTGCATGAGAGTCCTGATGTAACAGTCAATTTGTGGTTTTCTATTGGATTCAAAATACTGCTCTCCTTTCCTTCAGGGTCGTTATCAGAGCACATTATGAATGAGTCAGTGCATTTTGGATGGTGAGATTTCAGCCCTGCCCAAGCTGATGACAAATTTGTCCCTATTTTCAGGAGGTGCCAAATAGGGGCTCAGCACTTTGCAGGGCTGAGTGCTTGGCTATGGGCATTTCCTGAACTCTGCTACTGGCTTGAGAGTGCCTTGCAGTCTTCTCTCCTTCCTAACCATGTTTATTGGCGATATCCAGTTGTGGAATCCCAGGCAATTTGCCTTTTGTGAAGAAAGGCAAAGGCCCTTCTTGCAGGAAGAGGTTGCATAAGGTGCTGTAAAAATGTCTGCAGAATGAAATTAAAACAAACATGACGTGATATGGGAGTTGGAAAAAATAATGAAAAAATAAGTTCCTTAATGGGAATATGACCAAGCTGCCTGGGGAAGGAGAGGCCAGTTTCTGATGAGATGCATTTGATCTCTCCAGCACTGCACGAACGTCTCAACTTGGTGCTCCCGAGTGTTCCTCAGTTGCAGAGCTTGGAGAAATCACAACTGGCTCTTTGCTCCTGTCTAGAACAGGCCACCACAAGTTTTAGGATAAAGAGAACTCTTCTTCCTTGATGTGTATAGTGAGTGGGAATTTGTGTTTCAAGCTAAATATACCTGCTAGGTTTGAAAACAGCTGCAATATTGCATCCTGCTTTTGGCTTTAAGTGCTCAGTAAAGTGTATCATTTTCGTGGATGTAAACTGCTCTGCTGGTTTATATGTTTGTAGAGAGGTTTGCATTTGGCTTGGAGCCCCAGAAAGTTCTATCACCTCTATCTGTCCCTTTTCCTTTACTCCCTCTTTTAGCTATGAGCAGAAAAAAGCCAAATGTGGTCCAAAATCCTTGGTAATCCCAAGGCAGGTGAAGCAACTCCTCCCAGGAGCAAGGTCAGGTCACCAGAATATTTCAGCTGCTTCCTCCAGTGCCTGTGACCACCATTGCCTGTGACCATAAATATTGGGTGTGTTTTAGCTCATGTCAGCCAAGAAACAAATCCTGTGGAAAAGCTGTTTCTCTGCCCTGTCATGGAAATGAGGTGGGGCAAAACTGGGGCAACCCTTTATTTCACTTCAGAGTTTGTTGGGGTTTTTTCCCCCTAATGAATTCAGTCAGAATTACAGCATCTCTTCTGTTAAAAGATGTTCGTTACATTTCATGAGTGTGAGTTAATTTAGCAACAACTATGTTTCCCTGGTGCTATTATGAAATCATTCTAGTTCTTTTGTGATGGCGGTGTCAAAATCCAGTCATGGGATAAGAACACTGCACATGCAAGAAATAAAATTAACAATATGAAGTGAAAGAATCTCTGGGTGGATCAGATTAATATTAGATAGAGACAAAGCACAGTAGCTGAGGTTTGATTTGAATTTTTTGCTGCTTACCTGAACTCAGGTCTTTTGAACTAAAAGCTTCAAAGAAATGGTCTTTACCTGGAGGCTGTGGCATATCATGAGTGTACTTGGTATCTGTCTGTAGTTACTCTCAGAGGTTTGTGGAATTTTTTGACTCTTGCATTCATTTTTGCTACATAGGAATTTTACTGCTCTTTTTTATCACCTCTAAATTGGTTTGTTGGAAATCTCACCATCGAATGCTGCTTTGTCTTTTGTGCAGGTTGTCTAACATCAGAGAAATGCTAGGGTTTACTGAATAAGCCTTTATTAACTACTCAGTCCCTTGTTTAGCTGGTGAATGACAGTGAGTTTCCCTTTGTCATTCACAAGCTGCTTTCATTCTGTCTGCTATCAATATTGCAGCAAATTAATTAACTCCTGTTCATTTTTTTATTCATTTAAATCAGAGGGCAGTCTGTTTCTGCAGGAGACAGGAGGGAAGGGCACCCTTGTACTGCTCCCAGATCCTGGACTATCTCAGCTAGCCTATGGGTAAAATCACCTGGAGGAAATCTTGCCTCCCATCTCCCAGGATATGGGCTCCAAACAGCAGGATTTGAAGGTGCTGTACAGGATATTGCGAGACAGGTTTTCAGGAGCAGGATCCCTCTTCTTGTTGGAAGACTCCAACAACTGGCCTTTAGTTCAAACCAGGGTAAGGACATCTTATCTTGAACAATTACAATCTTCTAAAATTACAGGCATCTTAAAAGAAGGGAGAACCGTGTATCACATGCAAGAGCCAAGAAGAGGAGACGTGCAATGTGTCCAAAATAATGCTGTAAAAGGAAGAACTTCAAAAGCTGCCAAATATTTCTTTCAGATAGTGCATGGAATGGGCTGTTTTACTCAGAACCATAAAACATTTATGCATAAAGAGAGCTTAGTGTTTACATTGCTTATTTTGTTTTTTTTTTTTTTTTACTGTAAGCATTAAAAGTTGTAGAAGAAACCTGCCCCTGCCTTCATATTTTTAAGTGAATCATAGTTTTAATGATAGCTCTTCAGCTGGGATGATCTGAGAAGTTTTCCAGTCATGTGGTTGCCCTGCAAGACTTAATAGCCAGCAGAGAGGGAAGTTCCTTTACATTTTTGGTTCTCTCAGAATCAGGCTTCTATTTCCAAAAGCCAGCAGTCTCTGCAGGCACCAAAAGATCAGCAACCTCCAAACATTTTCAGACAAATCCCCTTTTTGTGTCAGAGGGGATGTTCCGAGCAGCATATTAAATCTGATTCAGGTAAAGGATCCCACACGTGCCAAGGTTGGCAGATTCCTTTCTCCTGTTTTGTTCCCAGTTAAAGATTCCATGTTTACAATATGACTCCAAGTGCACTGGACATACTTTTTGTTCAAAAGGGATTGTGACAAGAAGCCAACACAGGGAAGAAAAGATGTAACTGAAAGAACTACTGAGGGAAGCTGAGGGAGGAGGAAGACATTGAAAAGAGCAGATATTTTTGTACATTTTTACCCATGAGATATGCACTACTGACTGGCTGCAGGTTTCTGGAGCTGCTTGGGTGAGAAAGGCCATCTCTAACCTCACTTACCATCCTTCAGGGCCCCTGACAGCCACACAACTGGCTGCAAGTTGAACCTGCCTGAGGCCATGCTGGCTACTAAAATCCTCCAACTTTGACAGTGAGTGATCACGAGAGTACAAGGTGAGGAGGAAGGATATGGAGTTGGTTATGGGAGTGTCACACAACCAATGACGTTATCTAGATGAAACATCAGCATAGCTCTTTCCAAATTGCTCCAGTAATAACTAAAGTGGTCATGGCCTGGCTGAACAGAGTCTAGCTGAGCCACAGGCTGCCCAGGCTCACTGGTCACCATGGCAGCAGAAGTGGCTCTCTTTGAGCACCTTCTCTTTCTGACACCTAACACAGGCCACCTAGTGGGAAGGGACCTTGGGGAAGGTCATTGTGCATATCCCTCAAGACTAAGGCAACACCTCCTGCACCTCTACCAAGAAAATTCTACATAGTTCTTGCCAGCCTCTTGTAGAGCTTCAGTGTTCTTGCTGTTAGAAGGACTTTTCCTAATATTTGACTCAAATCTTCTTACCTGACAGCTTGTTCTTGTCCTTTTGGTCATGGAAAACAGACTGTTCCCTTTCTCTTTGCTGCAGCCTTTTATACACTGGAAGACTGTTATCATGTCTCTCCTCAGCCTCCTCTTTAGAGCAAACAACCCCACTGTGTTCAATCTTTCCTCATAAGTCATGATTTTTAGACCTCTGATTGTTCTCCCCCTGCTCCTCTGAACTCTCTCCAATCGGGCCATGCCTTTGGAGAAGTGCAGTGCCTGCAGGAGAACACAATGCCCTGGGTGAGGTCTCCCTGGCACTCAGCAAAGTGCAGGCTTTGCTTTATGAGTCTTGCAGACTTTACTTCTGTTTAAACACCTCAGTGTGGCATTTGCCTTTTTCTCAGCTGCACACCATAGTCGCTGAGCGTTCCGCTTGTGATCCACAGCCCTCGATCCTCTGGTTTCTTTTCTGCACAGCTACCATCCTGGCAGTTGCTCCCTCTTTGCTGCACATGCAGGTTAATGCACAGGGTAGATGAAGCAAACACCCACTCCATCTCCACCTGCCGCCAAATCCACTTTATGTCTATTTTACGCTTTTCCTACTCCGCATGGAGTCTGCGCATTGAGGGAGTGCTGGATATCAAATGGATGGGGAGGGGTCTTTGATAAAATTACAAGCATAGGATAACAGGGCAGGTACACAGCAGCAGGCAGTAGTACATAGGTTTGTGTTTGGGTAGTAAAATGTTGGACTTGTCTGTCATTGATGGTTCTTCCTTTGAATACTGAAAGTGCTGAAGCTACAGGAAAACAAATGTGAACTCCCAGTTATTTCTTTAATGATTCTGGGTGGTTCCCTTGAGCCGATGTGTGTCCTGCACTTAGTATTTTTTTCTTTTCAGAGGTAAGGCATATCCACTGGGGTTATTTGTGTTGGAGACAACTTTCTGTGTGATGTGAAGAGGTCTGCTACTTTCTGGTGCTGGTTTGTGGCTGGACAATACAGATGTCATGGGAAAAGGACAATTAGCTGGAACTTTTATTGTTATTACTGGGTCTTTAAGCTGGTCATTCCTCAGTTCCTTCTTTGTCGTTTTACCAACATAAGTTCTTTACCTCAAAATCTTCTCTGAAAGGTTTGGATGATGCTTGGAAGTAGGAGATAAATCTACCTCTATTTTACTGTAAGAGAGGAGTAAATTTAGGAGGATTTCTTTGTATGTATGCTCCTCAGCCAGAAAACATGAAGGTTGAGCTTAAAGGTGCTTGACAGTGGCGATGGCTCCTACCAGGGGAGTCAGCACATCAAAATGTTGCTTTCTCTGGCAGAATAATGAAGATCTGGTACAGCACCTTCTAATTTTTCAAACAGCACAAAGTGCAATTCCAAATTAACCAGCACACCTCCACCTTAATTTTTCATTTTACTTAACCTCTCTGTGTCTGTTTCACCATCTGTAAAACTGAGATAATACTTACCTACCTCACAGGGATGTTATGAGGATTAATTAATTGATGTTTGTACAGCGCTTTGAATATGCAAAGCGCTATATGTGCTAAGTATTATTATTTAGCTTAAATGTGACTGAGCAGGTTTAGAATGCTGGAAGAGAGCTCTGTCACTGAAACCAATCTATCACAATGTGGCTAATGACACAGCCTTGGGAACCAGGCAGCCAATTTTCTTACTCTATGCCATAATTAGCCAATATCAGTAACAAAAAAAATCCCCAAAAACCAACCAACCAAAAAAAAAACCCCCAAAAAATCCCAAACAAACAAACAAACAAACAAAAAACCACAAAAAAACCCAGCAGCCCACCTTTGCAGGACTTGCAGGGATTGAGCACTACAGGATTGCTGCTGAAATCCCAAACTAAATACCTCACAGTGCGATCAACTATTGGCAAATGTTTCACCCTCAAAAATCACCGAACCCATATGGGAATGAGTGGTATCTGTAGGGCTGGAAGAAGGCTGTAGTGCCCCATGGTAAAAGAAGAGCATTGTCTGACTTGAGAACAGAAATAAAAATGAAGAAAATATTTGCAGGGTGAGGTGGTGGGAGGTGGTGTCCAGCCCGGCTTTTGCAGCCATAGCTGAGAGCAGCGCCTGCCCCATACATGTGAGTAGAGATTCCCAAGCCAGTATTTGTTCTGGTGTGTTAATGAGCAGTGGCAGCCCCAGCAGCCAAGGGGACGGTCTAGCTGGAGATACAAAAGGCTGGTTAAGAACTGGTAATATGGGGTCTGTATATGCACTGGGGGAGAGCAACTTCTTTGAAGAAATACAAGGAGAAACTCTATAATTTTTCTCTTGGCTGCAGATTTATTTCAGTTTTAGTGGTTCTTATTCAAATTCATCAGGGGTAATTAATGAAAGATATAGGAAGGCCAGCACACACCTAGGATGCTCTGTTTGTAGTTGAATTATGTTGAGCTGTTTGGTCTATTGGTTCACTACCTCAAGCCTAGTGCAGTATTGTCATCCTTTGCTTTACAACACAGTCATTATATCCCTAAACCACATTGTGATACACTGTGGCTTCTGTTTACGACTCCCGAAACTCCCACTCCATATATCACCTGCCATAAAACCCATCAAACTGCTGCTAGTAAAATGGTGCACAGTGGTCTAAGTAGGAGCCAGGCAAATTGTGTGATACCCTACTGTGGTTAATGAGAGTGAAAATGTGGTTAGGATTTTATTCAGGCGATGTTCATTTGCAGGGCCATTGTAGTGAGGTGGCAAAGAAAAGAGTCTTTTGTTAACCTGAATGACAATATATTTTCTATTGTATGAAGTAGCTGAATGCAGAGTTTGCCAAGTTATACATCAATTGTAAGTAAGTCAAACTGTGACCTTGAATGGCTACATTTTTATTGCTTGGGGGTCTTGAAAACTAATTAATACACTGAGATGTTATAGCGACCATATGAAACCTGTTACTGGGATTTAAACCATTGTGGAGCAGTTCAGACCAGTCATTGGCAACTACAAAAATATAAAAAGTAATCTAGCTCTGTGCATCAGGAAATTTTTAAAAATTTCTTGTTTGAGTGCTGTTGGGGTGGATGTGCCATTCAATTGTTTAGAGATGTAGGGCAAATAAAAATTCTGGTGGAGGTGTGGTTCATGCTGCAGATCCTGAAAGCTCCTGATTTAACCAACACTTTTAGCCCCTGAGGCCAAGGACACACTCAGCTGCATCCCAAGGCTGTTTTGGGCTGCACTCAGGGTATAAACCTTTCCCTCTCCTCCTTGCTCTTTCCACCCTGGTTTATGAAGGGGCTAGATCCAGACATGTGGGACCAGTGTCTGGCTTAAAATCAAGCATGACAAACCCCTCCTTGTTAAATGCTGAGTGATGTAAAAATTGTCAAAGTGATTGTCGGTTGATTATTTTCCAGAGTCCTCATCATGTTTCTGCTTTTGGTTGTCTCATTCTTTAAAATGCGTTGTCATTTTTTTGTTTGTAGTTGTTTCCGCCCCCCTCTCCCCCCCCCCCCCCCCCCCCCCCCCCCATTTTTAATTACAAGACCATATCTTCAGGACTATATAACTTGAATACAGGAGAGCTGAGCTTTACTTCAAATTTAAATTTTACATATATTTTGCCTTGGGTAAAAAGTTTATTTCCCCTCCCCAGCCAATGCAGAGTAAATTAAGGAAGGCATGTATAACAAAACCAATATTTTGTAGCTGCATTGTGTGTTTTTTGACTGTTTCTGCCGTTGAACAAAAAAAATTACATTAAATTAAAAAGGGCTATTTATAAAACAAACATTTTGTAGGCAAAAAGGAAATGCAACCATAATAAAATTGTCAGTCTCAGCGGAATGACTGTATTGTACTGGGCTTTCGAAGAAAATCAGGCTGGCTCCTTCAGAGGAAATCTGATTTCAATTTAAGAGTCTTATTGAGGAAAACAGCACCACAAAAGGGGAAATTAAACCATAAAGAGTGCATTAAGCGAATGTTAAGGATCTAACTTACCATCACACACACAAAAAACCCCAAAGCAATCTGAAGTGGAGCTACAGAAACTTTCTCCGTGGTGCATCCTCCTGGGTGGAATTATGGCAGCTGCCCCCAGAAAGGAGGGAGGGATGGGGGAGGTGTTTGAGCTGAGCCCTGGGGTGGTTAAGGCTAAGAAAGAGACAATGTAAAATAGAACCTTCTCACTTCACATATCATCTCCAGTGTGAATTCTGAGTCATAGCTGCTTAATCCACTGACTGAAATAAGTTTTTAGTGTTTTTTCCCCTCCTGGCTATCTTAGTGGAACCTGTAGAGCCATGGAGAGGGAGCTGGATTATTTTGTGGCTCATGCACCACCAGGAGATTAGCTGATGAAAGCTCTGGTCTAGCAGCCACTTCCCAGGGCGTGGAGACTCCCTCCTTTCAAGGAGAAGCAGTTCATCTCAGCAGTGGGACTTCCTTTCCATAGGCTGACAGCTTTTTCCAAAATAATTTTTTTGTTTTACAGCTGAAGGGTGTGAAAATCTGAAAGAAACCAGAATGTGAATTTGCTAGTTTTATGGCATACGAGTATCTTCAGGATGGCTAATTTTATGCAGTTGTGGCTGTAGGGTAGTGTTGAGTGGATTCGGGGATATTCTGGTCTATAGAAAATAATTTTGCTCCTCTTTCCCTTCCTTAGTGAAATAAGTCTGGCTGCCAGGATGGTCTGTAAGAGGTGTATGTCCTCACCAGGCAGACACAGGCTCCTCCTCAGTGCGCCTGTTGGAGAGGGAGCGAGTGCTCCACTACATGTGA